GAAGCCCCTGAGTTCACTGACTCTGATCATATTTAGACAAGGCGATGGTCAAAGTGGAAGTTCTCTCCTCCCTTCAGAGAAAGGTACCTCCTTCTTTGATGGCCCCGTTCTTTCCAATGGGATCTCACTCGTGGAGATCTTTCATTTAGTTTTTTTTTTTTTTTTTCCCAGAGTGTCTTGGCTTTTCGTACCTGAAATAGTCTCATGGGCTTTTCAGCCAGATCTGCATGCCTTAAGGGCTGATTCTGAGGCCAGAGTGCTATTTAGGACATCTGCCATTCTATGGGTCTGCTGTGTATCTCACTTCTCATGTTGGATCGTTCTCTCTCTTTTTTATTCTATCAGCTAGTATTTGCAGACACTAGTCTTGTTTATGTGATCCCTTTGGTTCTTAGTCCTATCATTATGATCAATTGTGAACAGAAATTGATCACTGGGACTAGTGAGATAGCATTGGTGCATGCCACCTTGATGGGATTGAATTGGAATCCCCTGGTATGTTTCTAACTCTACCATTTGAGGTAAGTTAGAAACATACCTGTGTGATGCTTTCTAGTGTATGGTGAACAATCAATACTTAGTGAATTTCATTGGAGAAAGTATACATATTGGAGTGAGCACCAGATATTTCAGAGTATACACTACACTGGATTTCTTGTTGTTTTTACAATTAAACTTTTGAGATTGGTAAACTTCAAACATACTATTGGGGTTGAAGTGCTGCCAAAGTCTAGGTGTAGATGAATCTAAGCGTGTATCTGGCTACACTCAGATTCATATATGCACTTACTGTTTCTTACAGGTGATGCACCTTGGTAAGACTGAAGGTGATATAGTTTTGTGGAACCTTTTACCCAACAACTACTATGTTTCTTTTGACATTTCAAGAAAACCTATTATTTTTCTTTCTTCCAATTCAAAAATGCTGAAAAAAAATGAAATAAAATGTCAGGATGACTGCCCAATAATGATGTCTATGATTAAATAGCCCAGCACTTTGTGGGCATTGATTTCTCAGAACTGAGACCTATAAGTGACAATCTTTCTGGAATTATAAAATCATTGCCAAATATTACCTAAATTAAATGGTGAAACATTGTCTTTGATCCATCTGCCATTTGAAATGCACCTGAGTTTAGTGGAAGGTTAAGCTTTTGATTATAAAGAAAATTGAAAGTATGTCATGGTAAAAATTAAAAGAAAAATAAGAAAAGAAGGAGGGAGGGTGGAAAGAGGGAAGGAGGATAAAGTGCTCATCAACCTGTAAATAGGAAACAAATAAAATATTTCCCATTTTATAGATAAACCTTTTAAAAAATGGATTTCTAAGTTAGTCCTACCAAGTCTGTAAAAGAAATACTTTTATTCTGAAACAAAAGCAAAAAAAAAAGCAATTTAGTAGGCTCAAGGTAAAATAAAACTGAGTGAAGACAATGAAAATTATTTTTAAAAATATATAAACTACATTGTGTATCATTGTTTAAATTAATGGTATTCCAAAGGAATGTTTTTCACCATTTGATTCAGCTAATATGATTTTATGTGACGGCAGAAACACAATGGGAATTATGATATCAGCATGTTTATTGATAATGCAATGACTATAGGCATGTAGACAGAACAGAAAGATCTGTGTTTTTCATCTCATACATTGTTTCAACTTGTACTTGTTGGAGTGTTCAAATTTACTTTCCTTTACACTTATCTAAATACAGAATATATTACTGTATATATCTCCTAGTTAATATTAAGTTTTGCTTTACTTTGTTCTGGCTTTTCAGATATGTGAAGCTTTAAGAATAAATACTTTTTATTATTTGAATCTCTTCTGTGGAGTTGAGAAAGGTTTCAATTGACAATGGAGGAGCGCTGAATTACATATGAAGGGGAAACCTGCACTACAAAATGTCATGGAGGACATTTTATCACACGTCTTCTACAGTTGGAATTAACTAGTCCTGGAAATAGCTTAATGTCATAATCACTGCCTTTGGCCTTGTCACCCTTCCAGAGTTGCTCGTTATCATTAGATCACGGCAATCGTACTAGTACTGCAATGTCTATTTTTGCATAAGACAAGCAAAATTAGAACAATTCTTTTGTTCTTTTGTTCTTTGCTAACTTATGAACTGGGAAAGACAAAGAGAGATGTGAAAATCAGATGTCAGCTTATTTGCCCTGTGTGACTTATCCTTTCAGATCTATAAAAAAAACTGTGAAGCAAATTCAAAAACATAATAATATATAATATTTTCACTTAATAAATGACCCATACAAATTAACAAAAAAAGTGCTATAAGCACAATAATTAAGCAAAATTTATAATCAGACAACTTACAAATGATAGAATTACCATTTAAAAGCCCATGCAAAAATTTTCAGCCTTATAATTAAAGTAATGCATATTAAAACAATGGGTAAGCATGTTGTGCTTATGAAATTAATAAATATTTTTAAAAGAGACCAGCCTGTGAATGAGAGAAACTTCTAGGACAACAATGAATCACCATCACTCTTGGAAAAGTAACTTGGCAATGAGACTTAAAAAGTTCATAATCCAATTCTCGACATGTTTCCCAAAAGACAACCATTCGGATAGAAAAAAGCTGTAAGATTGTTCATCTTTCTGTCATTTAAAGTATTATTAAGTTGGATAAAACTTAAATGTTCAAATATTAACAAATGACTAAACAAATTATAATTAACCAAATATATGTCATTTTGTGCATTTATTAAAATGATTAGGAAGAAGTCATTATAAAATAGGAAATGATTATGTTTGTGAAAAATCTGAATATATAAGTTTATGCATTCCAGCTATTTTAAGCAAACTATATATACTACAAAGAAATACAAATAGGAAGGAAATACAACATAGTATTTTGTGTTTTTAAAGTAATAGGAAAGTTTTTTGTTTTTTTATGTATATTTTACAATTCTCTCACCTTATACAATATACATGCTTTCTCTTAGAAAAAAGATGTTTGCTGAAGAGCTAAAAAAGTCAATAAAAGAATACAGAAGGAATGAGCCATCAGTGAGAATTCATAACAGCACATCAACGAGGGTCCAATCCTCACTATCCTTGCAAAACTGATTAAATTTTACGGGTCTTTTCAAAATTCTCATCTCCCAGAATGTTGGCAATCAGGTTGATTACTGGGAAAGATACTGCAGTACCTAATCTCTGAGAAATTAGAATGTAATTACCCCTATCCTGCCTCATATCTAAACTAAACTACAGGGGAATATGCGTGGTCAACAAAAGCTGCTTTTCAAATAAGTACTTCAAATGGCATACTTATCAATGAACACTTACTGAACACCTGCACCTAGCTTTGTATTAAAAAACACTGCCCATTTTTTCTTTCAGGAGAATATAGTCCATCATACTCACTAATATTTTCCAAATGCATTCAAATTATACTAAAAGTTATCTCACATTTTAAAAAGTATGCTAATTTACATCCCAAATATTAAGTGTATTTTTGTTAAGACTTGAAAACTATAAGTGACATTTTTAGGCATAGGAATGAAAGAAGAAAATTAAAAATGCCACTTACCTGACATGCTTCTTCTTTTTAAATCAGAAAAATCTCTATGCAGCCATCAGGAAAATGCATTGATTAAAAATGCTCCCACAAACTTTTTTTCTAATGTAATGTTACAGTTATATGCAGCATGGCAGTAAAACTTATCTTTATCAGTGCTTGTGTGTTTTTTTCTTGCTCTTCTGTTTCTTAAACTCTTTTGTATGTACTTTGTTCAGTTACAAACAGGAAATGTGGTGATGGAGGTTTCTAGAGTTCTGATCTGAAACCAGTAGACTTAACATTGTGTAACGTGGGAAAAAAAAATCCTACAAGTCTCTGTACTCTGGTATTTGAATTTGTGTCTCTGCGTGAATCTATTTTAAAAATAAATAACTAAATTAAACGACAAATTAGACTAGAAGAAATCTTTCATATGTCTGGAGAGAATCCAGGTATCTCCTCACAAGTAAATTCTCATGGAAAGACAATTGCATATGCTAGCTGATGAGGGAATACTAAGGCCGTTCTGAATATGCTCAGCTTTGAACATGACGGTCAGAAAGGAATGATAGTTTTTGATCACTTGCTGTGTACTATTGCCCTCTGTACATTTTGCTACCAGGAGATTTGATACCTGCCTTGTTTCCAACCAACCCTGTCCCAGCCACTCTGAGGCTGTCTGGGCAATCAGGAGCCACCTGGCAACAGTCTAGTTCTCAACTGCCATGCCAATGCCCGTGTCAGTTCTTTCACATCTTTTTTTTTTTTTAGAACTTTTATTTAGTAAATACAATTTTCCAAAGTACAGTTTATGGATTTCAATGGCTTTTTCCTCCCCATAACTTCCCTCCCACTGCACCCCTCCCATCTCCCGCTCCCTCTCCTATGTCTTTTTTTTTTTTTTAAGATTTACTTATTTATTTGAAAGACAGAAAAACAGAGAGATATTTTCCAATTGCTAGTTCATGCCTCAAATGGTCACAACAGCCAAGTCGGGAGCCAGGACTCCATCTAGCTCTCATATGGGCAGAGGGGCCCAAGCACTTGGGACAGCTTCTGTTGCCTTCCCAGGTGCATTAGCAGAAATTCAAATCTCAAATCAGCACTCCTATATGAGCTGCTGGCATTGTAAGTCGCAGCTTAATTTGCTACACCACAACTCAAGACCTTCAACATCAGTTCTTAAACGTTAATGTGTGTAAGTATGTTATGCACCCCTAGTTAAAAAAAATCCTAGTTTGAAATTCTGGGCCCTACTAGATCAGAATATTTGGGGTAGTGCTTTGGAATCTGCATTTCAACAGGCATCACTGGTTGTCACATAGGTGTTCTGGGCAATGCTTTGTGAAACTCATATATGAGGTATCTTCAAAAAAGTTTATGGGAAATATGAATTACGGGAAATTGAATTTCAAAGTTTTTTTGCACAAAAATAAGCTTAACTTTTCATAGCATTTTCCACAAATGTTTTGAAGTGATCCCACATATGAGAGAATCTATCTAATTTATCATTATATTCCAGAACCTAGAATTGTGACTGATATATTGTAAGTCTCAATGAATATTCTTACAATGGCTGGATAAATAAAACACTGGTAGAGTCTTTGTTATCTCTTTGCTCCATTATAGGAAACAACTCTTCACTAAATAAAGTGTGGTGCTTCTTTATTATTGGAACAGAGTTGGCTAAACCCTAGCACATCTTCCCCTTCAATCATTTGATCCCAAAATATTTCTTACGAATCAAAGTCTGAAAAACTGGAAGAGGTCAAGAAGGTTCCCTAGTTTAATCTATTTTGAAAAGTATTTTCAATATATAGTCCACATAACGGTACCCCTTCAACAAACTCTTAGAAAAAAGGGATCTGTCCACAAACATTAGAGTACTTCAAAAAGTGTGTGGAAAATGGACATAAATAACAAGTTTATTTTGGTGCCAAAATGTTGGAATTTATGCACATGAGGGGTTTTCAATAAGTTTGTGGAAATATCTATTGGGCAAAATCTAGGTATATTTTGGTGCAAACGTTTTTTGTGCCAAAATAAGTATCTTCTAATTCCATTTCCACAAACTTTTTTTTTTTGAAAGACAGAGTTACAGAGAGAGGTAGAGAGAGAGAGAGAGAGAGAGAGAGAGAGGTCTTCCATCCGCTGGTTCACTCCCCAGATGGCCGCAACGGCTGGAGCTTCGCCGATCCAAAGCCAGGAGATGGGGGCTTTTTCCGGGTCTCCCACGGGGTACAGGGGCCCAAGGACTTGTGCCATCCTCTACTGCTTTCCCAGGCCATAGCAGAGAGCTGGATTGGAAGAGGAGCAGCCGGGACTAGAACCGGTACCCATGTGGGATGCCGGCGCTTCAGGCCAGGTGTTAACCGGCTGTGCCACAGTGCCAGCACCTCCACAAACTTTTTGGAGCATCCTCATGCTATCAGCCTGTATTGACCCAAAACAGGATACACTGCTTTGGGGTCACTTCCAAGCTCCTCCACCCTTGCCTTCCTCAGATTTCTGCAGATTTATGTATCCAGAGTCACAGACTTGAGACAGAGAACACCTAGACATCATCAGGTGTTTGCTTTGGGTCTCTCTTCCTGTTGCACTTTTCTGAGAGATACCCTTCCTGGAATAATTACAGCATTTCTGCAATTTTGCCTGTGTCATTCTTGCTGAGTTTGACTTTTTCTTCCCTCAAAGCTAACTACTGTTTCTCAGTGCATTTTACAGGTCAGGATGGGAGTATCTTCTTTCTTTCTTTCCCCATCATCTGCAATGCTTTTGTTCTAACAAAGGGATGCTTGCACCTCCATTTCCAGTCCTGAGACCTCTTCTCTCTCCAATGTGCTCGTTGACATAAGTGGGCATCTAATTTTCCCATGTTCCAAGGACTTGCTTACGTAACCTAGGCAGTTCCTCTTGATATGGGGGTGTGTATCCCCCTTTCCAGCTACCCTTTTAGATGGATGCTCAGCCTTGAGTGGGCCCTCTGTTCCTGAACTAATGTCTCAGGTGTCCAAACCTACCTGGCTATCTGGGATGCTGCACTGCAGCAGACTCCATTCCTGTGTTGTCTGCTTAATTCTAGGACAGAACTTTCTGATTCTTTGCTTTCCTCCCCGCTAATGCAGTAGAGAAGGGACCAAGTCCTTGGGTCCCTGCACCCACATGGGAGACCGGGAAGAAACTCCTGGCTCCAGCCGATATAACCAGCTGGGGAGTGAATCAGCAGATGGAGGACCTCTCTCTGTCTCTCTCTGTCTCTGCCTCTCTCTGTAACTCTTTCACATAAATATTTAAAAAATATATTAATAATACATAACTTTCTGAATGTACAGGGGAACTTCAAAGAGGTTGTGGAGATGGTACAAAGAATGTTTGAAGTCCGTGCATATGAGAGATGTTACAAGCTGTCCAAGGTGACACAGAAAGCCCATGCTTGTGGGCCCCACAAGCCCCACAGATGTTTGACATCTGCTAGAAAAATATACAAATGATTTTTCATTAGATGCATATGCCTGAACTCTTAGAAACATTATAAGAATATAGGAGAGCCTATCAATCCACGTTTGTTATGAAATATATTAATGGGTACATTCAGTGATTTGAAGGATGGCTTTATGAGCCCTGTTCAAATAATAAATAAATGTGAAACTTCTGTGGTATTTTTAATGAAATGTGCGATCAGAACGAAGCTTAAAACATAGCTAGACTAAGCAGAAATGTCTTGACAAGCTTGAAGTTATTATAAATGTTGTTGAAAATTTGAGGAGGAAGCTTTGATGAGCACCTGTCAAGAAATGAGAGTTTTAAAAACAAGATAATTGAGTTTTTCATTGAAAAAAGTATGCAAAAAACATATCAAAATGGAGGCTGTCATTCAGAGGTCCACACTTAGAAAAATGGATCATAGAGTGTAGAATGAAGCCCACTTTTTCAAACCGCCTTTCTAGGATTATCTCTTATTTTTATAGTCCATATGTATCACTAGAGTGCCTTTATTTATATGTATATGTGTGTAGTCTGTCTGTTCTGATAGATACAGCTATCCATATACAGTTGTCTGAGTATTCAGATTTCCACGTGCAAATGCGTGCATAGGCATATATTTATGTCTACAGATATATAGATATACACACCTGAGGGGTATATCACTATATTTAAAAATGTGTTTATCTATTGCTTTAGTTTTTTACAATGACACGCAATACTTTTATATGAATAAAAGATGCTTCAGTTTTTAAATTCTGTGTAGAATACCTTTGTTTTACAGAAACAGATGATCTGATTTATCACTTGGTATAATTTTTCTTGGCTCATGTGAATCATCCTTTAGTTACACCAAAGCTAGTATAAAGTAATCAAACAGTTTTAGGAGACAAAGGAAGTGACGGATCTCCTGTTATTCTAACTATGCCGCTTTAGAATGTGAAATTATTCAGAATTAGTGATGGATTTATAATTATATCTGATTAGCTATATGATTCATAATTTTTTTGAGATTAGGCTTTAAGATCCTACAAGAAACAATTATTTAGATGGAAAAGAAAAAAAATAAAGGCAATAGAACAGTACATGAATTGAGCATAAAATTTTGGGGTCTATTTAATATATTTATTGTGGCTTTGAGAACCAGATTTGTTCGTAAATAAAAACCTGAAATAAAAGAGTATATAATAAAAATTCAGAAATAGTTGAACAATTGTCTAATGACAAAAACTCACACAGATTATTTTCCTATGTATGATAAGTATCCAAGATTTCTAGAGGACAATGATTTCCCCCCTTTTCTGTATGATGTCTTAGAGGGAGCGCTACTAGCAAAGCTAAAGCATTTGAGAAATTTTGAATTTATTTGAAACACAACTGATTCAAACAAAGTAAAAGCTTATTTATAGTAAGACTTCCATAGCTTTAGTCAGCTAATATGTAATTTCTCTTTTCAAGAAGTGCCTATATGATGCAGTATTTAAAAGTATATTGCATAAGAGTAATATCTTTACTTTTAAAGCATATTTCGTGGCTGCTATTTTTTTTTTAAAGAAATACTAGTCAATCAACTTTTTCTTTCTGAGGCCTCTTCCCACATTCAAAGCCTGGACTGTTTTATCCACACTGTGATAACATTAATTTTGCCACTAAATTTTAATTGTCATCATTCAAGATGCTTTTCATGAGATTATAATGGTATGAGCACTTAAAATGCAAATACTCTAGGACAGGTAACAAGTCAACATGTTCAGAATAGAGCGAATCATTCTAGTGGAAACAAGTAAAATGGGAGTAGATTGAATTTTGTTCAGAATAAGAAGTTTGGTTCTATACTACTTCTAGGAAAAGGTAAATTGTGGTTGGAGAAATTAGGGGCTGGGAACATACACCAAGAAGTGATAAAATCAGCTGGAAACAGATGCTGACAGTCATAATGGGTGGTTGATTGCTTGAGCTAAATGAATGGAGTATTCACAAAAATACAAGCAGGGCTAACAGGAAGTCCAAGGGAAAGTGAAGCCCTTGTGGATTAACAACTGGGGGAGCTGATGACCACCTTTAGGCTTTAAAATATTAAAGGAGTTTCAGTGACTACACCCCAGCAAGATAGTAGTTGTAAGAGGGGGCCTCTTAAAAGGAGCTGTGACTTCCAGAAACAAAGCAGCAACTAAGAAATCCACAGTATTGTCATGCTATGACCAGACAAGAAGGGAACTGTGGAAAAAAAAAAAAAACAATTTACTGTCTTTTTGCTTTCTAATCTCCCACCCATTTTCTTTACAGATGAAACTCGATATAGCCCACAGAAGTAAGTCTGCAACTACCCAAAGAGGTGATTAAGAGAGAATGAACATGGAGGGATCAACATGGAAGTGTGGGTGCAGAGAATGAACTTACTTTCAGATAGGTACTACCTGTTTTGTCAGATACAGACTTGGTAATTATGAACACACTCACCTTCCAGAGTGCAAAAGAGAAAACAGGGCAATTTGAGATTTTACTATTAGTTTACTCAGGGCAACTTCTCAACTCTAAAATACTTGATGTCCTAAATAATATTAAGCTGGTTGTACTTAGAACAAAAGTAAGAACAAAATGTACTTTAAAAATGGTTAAAGATGATGAAAGGAAGGATATAAATACTAGATGTTGATGTTAGTAAGAAGAAAGTAAACTAAAGGAAAATCTTTACTCATTAATATGTAGATAAAATTTTTACCAAACTTTGACAAGTCTATTTCAGCAATATATTGAAAGGGTAGCAGAGCATGGATGGAGTTTATTCCAGGAATAAAAAGATGGTTTAATGTTAGAAAATCAATTAATAGTGTAAAGCACCAGATTGGCATTCTACAACAACAACAAAAAAAACACATAATCATTTAATAGAGGTGAAAAGTGATTTTGCAAAATCCTATTTCCCATTCCTTGCTTTAACAAAAAAAGAACAAACAACCCGGGGAAACTAGTAATAAAAAGAAACTTCTTCAATATAATTAAGAGCACACATGAAAAACTTACAAGTCACATCTTTCTTAATTGTGAAATACTGAATTTTTCCTCCTGAAATATGCATAAAGCAAGGTTATTCACTCTCACCACTTTAATTCAATACTGTATTAGAAACTCTAGCCCAGGCAAAAGGATAAGAAAAATACATTAAGTATATGTGGATTAGAAACAAGTAAGACTGGCTTGCAGCTGACATTCTAGGGAACCTACAAAAATACCTGCTAGGACTAATTACCAAGTGTATCAAGATTCCAGAATATAAGATTAATCTACAAAAGTGTCAATTTTATTCTTTAAGCTAGCAATGAAAAAAATCAAAAATTAAGAAATATGTTTTCTAGCGTTATTCTAAAAACTATAAACTTTAATCAACCATGAAGTTTCAGACATTCCCAACTGAGAGGCATACTGCAAAAATAATTAACTCATATGCCTCAAAAACATCAAGGTCAAGAATGACAAAGAAATGAAGATTAAAGTAATTCAGGAGACTTGTAAGTACAAAGCATGATCTTGCATTGTGTCCTGGGCTAAGGCAAAGGTAATGTCTGATACATTAATGGTACAATACTAAAATTCTAAAAGACAGTCATGTACATAATAGTATTGTGAAAATGTTGGATTTTGATAATAGTATTGTTGTTATAGGGAAAAGGTCCTTTGTTTCTGAAAATGCACACAAGAATATCAAGCTAAAGGGGTACAATCTCTTCAATGTACAAACAGCTTCCAAGTGCGTGCACTGAAGGCAAACAGCAAACAATGTAGAGAGCAGCAAGGAGAAAACAGGGTAAAGGACACACAGGACTTCTTTGTGCTGTCAGTCTTATGTGTGGCAGTGTGACTAGGGCTCAGAAGAAAATGTATAACTTTGCATCATTAATAAACTTAAAACAATTGAATTAGTGAACTGAATACTCAATTCAATAAATTAGTAACATATCTACAAAATAAATCTAAGAAGAATTAACATATGAGCTATGTTAATTGAAAAAGATAATTAATGAATTATAAAACCAAATAAAGTTCCCTACCTTAAGGAGGTAGTTTTTTAGGACTCCAACATTGAAATATAAATTACTGGCTATCTAAATATAATTAACACAATGAAAGGAAAAATGTACAAAATAAGAAATGAGAATGGGAAAATAACCTATAAAGGAAATTGACAAGATTATGAGTACTTTGTTTACCTCTGGGCAAACATTGTAAAACCTAGTTAAAAGATGTAATTTATTAGGAAAATATAAATTATCAAAATTGACCCCAAAATAGATCTCTTAATCTTTTCTCAATTCTATTTTTAACAGAATTTAAAAAATAGTAAGTATTTACTCATTGAAAGGTATTGGCCCTTACTACTGGGAATGTTTCTAGAGTTTCAACAACAGAAACAATGGTGTTGGGCTTATGATACAAGTTAGGTATGGGTATATACCGAGGTACAGATTTAAATATAAGGGCTGGTGTGCTGGTGCAGCAGGTTGAGATGGTGCTTGCAATAAACGGCAGCATCATATATCAGAGTGCCAGTTTGAGTCCCCGCTGCTCTGCTTTTGATCCAATGCCTGTGAATGCAGTGGATGACGGCCCAAGGACTTAGGTCCCTGCTGCCCTGGGTGTTGCAACTTTGTGGGAAATGAGTGACCAAGCAGATGGAAGATCTCTCGCTGTCCCCCTCTTTCTCTGGTTCTATTTGTATCATTCTGCCTTTTAAAAACAAATCTTGATATCCAAAAGATGTAACTATAGAGACAATAGTTAGGTATAAAAGGTAGTGCTATATTATGCTAAGGAAATAGTCATTGAATCTTATTATATGATGTATTAAAATCATACATATGGATTTTTGGAAGTAAAATGAAGAGGGCCTTCTGGTAATGGTAGAATTAAAATGTCATAGAATTCTGTTCAGAAATATATATATATATATATATATATATATATATATATATATATAAACCAAGGGGACATGTCTGAAACAACTATCTCAAAATTTAGCTAAGGCAAACAATACACTGAGAAATGTTTACTCATGAAAAATTACTACCATTTCAAGAATACAGTGGCCCATGGCCTCCTGATCTGGGTTGCTACCATCTTCCTGCCTTTTCCTTTACCAGTCGTTGCTTGGTAAGATAGCATACTTGATTTGGAGTATGGCAGGGCTGACACATGAAAGCCCATACATTCGTGGATGAAAGTCTTAATCAGACAAAATGAGGAGAAACTAAAATTTTGCTACTCGTAAGTTGCTTTTCTGGTTTGGGATACATGGCCCACTAGACATAAATTTAGTGGTAAGGGGCATAGGAGGGCTGAGATAAGCTCTCCATATGTCCCACCTGTCTGATAAACTACACATGCTATGAGGGAGACAAGAAGACAATGAAAAACTGGCAGCCAAGGTAGATCTGAGACCCAGCTGAAACTTTGAATATTTTTCTCAGTCCACATATAGCTTGGTAGGAAGTGGATGAGGAAAACTTAGGGAATTGAAATGTCTGCCCAAACTGATGAATAAACTATGTAAACATAAGGCTGAAGCCAAGGAAGCAAGTTTAAGACATCGCATTTTTATAAAACAGTAAAAACATCATTGGTTTCACACTATGCAAAACAGAATTCAGGTAGTTTTTAAGTCCAAGCCAGTTACTAAAACAAAGGCACAAACAACAATAATAACAAAACATATTTTCCCAAAACAATGAGCTTCAGAAAAATAAAACAGAGAAGCAGAATTAGATAGCAGCCGAGTAAGGAGTTCTTGTGATCATTTCTCCACAGAGACACCAACATGAACGATTATTCACATACCAAATCACAGGCACCAGAATCCAGGGACCCAGAAGATAGACCAGAGGGCCTCGTCTAATTCAGAGGTGAGATGCATTCAGGAAGTAGGAAGGTGAGAGCTGCTGCATCACCCCTCCCCAAGCTCCAAGTACCACAGCATGAAGAGACCTCCCATTTGGTAGAGGGAAAGGGAAAAAAGTCTTCTTGTCCTAAGGCCCATAATGAAGACCATGTCTTTGAACCCTCCTTAGCCAGGTAACTAAAGGCCTGGGAAAGCAGCAGAGGGTGATCCAAGTGCTTGGGCCCCTTCCACCCACATGGGAGACTTGGATGGAGTTCCTGGCTCCTGGCTTCAACCCGACTAAGCACTGGTCAGAACAACTATTTGGGGTATGAACACAGATGGAAGACTCTCTCTCTCTCTCTCTCTCTCTCTTTCAAATAATAAACTAATAATATAATCATCTAGAAATTGACATTTTCAAGTGTTCAGATGAATAATTTAAAATATCTGTTTAAAGGAAGCAATAAACTTCTAGAGAACATAGAGTAACAATTTGATACTATAAAAGACCTTAATAGACTTGACAGAAATGGAAGTAATTTTTTTAAAAATCAAGCACAATTCTTTCAACTGAGTTACACTAAGCAAAACTAAAATTTCAGTTGAGTGGCAAATGTGAAATTGATAGGTGCAGTGGAAGTGATAGATCTGGTATGAAGCTTGGGGACAAACATGGAGGTAGCAGATCTCCCAACTGGGAACTGTCCAAGATGAATTAACTGACTTGGATCAATCAAATGTAACCAAGGAAACACCTGAAGGTGAAGAACATCCATTGGCAGACACTGAAAAAAAGGAGAATAAAGTGGAAAAGGAAAAGGGTCCAAAAGAGATGATTTTGGATGAGTGCAAGACAATTCAAAATATAGACCAGGCAAAAGTAGAATCGAATCTTCAAAAACCAAATGAAAGTGCTGATGGGCAATGGAAGAATGGATAGGCGTATGCTGAAGATTCAGTTATGTACCATTACTTACAGAAGTCAATGGTTGTGTATCAATTTTGGAGACCCAGGCCACCCAGGCCACAGAGGAAGGTGAGGAAATATGGGTGTGGTGGACATCCGGACTGTTGCAGCAGGACTGACAGTCAAGCGCTTCTGCTCCTGATGAGGATAATCCAGTGGCATTTCCAGCTCTGGCTGAACTGGATGCTATGACAACCCAATTCGTTCATAGATCCTCTTTTTGAAGTTTTTGCATGCTAAGGATTCCAACTGACTAAGAATTTTTTTTTTTTTTTTAGAAAGGACTGTAAGTCATACCATTCACACCTAAAGACTGAATTTTATCTGTTTTGAAAATGAACTTCTCTCACTACACAGAAGTAACAAATATGTATTTAGAAATGTATGAGTAGCAGCAACATTTTCATAATTTTTGGAGATTATGCATTCTTCACAAATACTTCAGATACATTTTGGTTGCAAATATACATTTTCAAACTTGAACTATAGGTATGAACAGTGTGTATGAGTTTAAAGCTTTCACTTATAAATTAAGGATTGATTTAAATTAAGGATTTTAGGTGTCCTCCCATTAAAAACTGATTTTAAATATTGGGAGGAAGTGCAGTAGAGGGCACAAGAAGCAGAATAGAACAAACAAAAGAGAGAAAGTGAAGCCAAACATGCTCTATCAGAGAATGCACAATTAGAGGAGAAAAAAGGAAAAAGAATCAAGAGGAATGAAGAGAGCTGACAAAAACTCTGGGACAGAGTGAAAACAGTCAATGTGTGGGTTACGGAGGGTTCAAGTGGGTCTTCACAATGTCAAAGGTATGGAAAGCACATCTAAAGAGATAATAACAGAAAACTCACTAAAGTTGGAGAAAGATACAACTATTCAGATATAATAATGTCAGAGATCAGAGGTCAGATTCAAATGAATATATTATAATTGAGCTCTCCAAGTTTAAAGATAAAGAATAGCTAAGGCTTGAAGAAAATGCTTTTTGAGATCTTATGAGAGAATGTGACTATTGTGGCCATTTTTCTTAGATTGGGGATGTAGGTTTGGAAAGTCAAGTGTAAGTGGTTATAGTGGTGTTAGGTGGCAGTGTTCAAGGTGGGCTATGGAAACACAGGGTGGACCCAACAACCTAGTTATGGAGATTAGGTATCTAAATCTAAATTTTGAAGTGGCAGGAGATGGGGGGAGAGAGAGAGAGAGGCAGCTAGATGTAGGGTTAGGAACAAAAAATTGACCAGGAGTATCCAGTTCCTAGGGGAATGGGAGCCTACATGTGCTATTTCAGGAAATTGTTTAACAGCCAAGGAGTAAGCGGTGCCAGCACTGAAACACAAGAGTCACACTGGAAGTGAGGGTTTGCTGAGGAGACGGCTGTTCAGACACGAGGGGTAAAGGAACATCTCCCTGAAGGAAACTGAAGGCCAAACAGTTGGGCTCTGCGAAGAAATCCTGTCAACAGCTTGAGCCATGCTTCAAGCCCACTTGCTGGTCGTGTGACCTTGAACAGACCACTTGACTGCTTAGTACCTGCTTCCTCATCTGTAAAATGAAAACGATAAAAAGTACCTACCTCATACGGTTACTAAGGGATGAGATGTGTAATTACAAAGTGCCTTAAATTATGTTATAAAGAGATAGAGAAAGGAATCTCAGTATTGGAGTAGAAAATAAATGGTACAGAGGATTCCCAGTTCACCTCGCTGAACGCTTCTCAGTAGCAATTATGTAGGTCATGGCAGTGTGCAACGAGTTCCATCGTGCTGAAAGAGGAGAAATGACAGCAAGAATACTGCACCCTTTAGGTATGATGAAGGGTGAAGACACATCCAGGCAAACAAAAAATGAGAAACGTTATCCCAATCAGATTTATACTGTAAGGAAGACCAAAGAGAATTTCTTAAATTGCAAGAGACAATAGTAAGACACATACACTATAAAATTCACAGTAAAAGAAACCACGTAGACTAATTCAGAATGTTCTAATGTTGTAAACATGGTACATAGACCATTCAGATATTTAGTATGAATAATAAAAACTCAAAAATAATAATTTCTACATTAATATGTTAAGATAAATAACATAGAAATATGTAACATGGAACACAAAAATTCAAAATGTGAGGAAGAATACAGTGCAAGTGGAGAGTTTTTAGTAGTATTACTTATCTTTTTCTTTTGAATTTCTTTTTCTAACTTTATGATCAGTGTCACATTTATGTTTTTAAAATAGGTTATTATAACCAGAATCTCTTTTTCTAAGCCTTATGCTAACTACAAAGCGAAAATTCATAATATATTTACTAAAAATACTATGCAAAGAATCAATACAATTAAGAAATATAACTACAAAGGAGCATTGTAAGAGAAGGAGGAGAAAATAAACAATAATAAACTAGAAATAAAATATCAAAATGGCAATAGTAAAACCTTATCTATCAATTCTGACCTTAAATGTAAATGGATAAATTATCTCATTGAATATGATGCTGGCCATGGGTTTGTAATAGAGTCTTAATTGTGTTGAGGAATACAATTTGCTTAGATTTGTTCATCATAAAATGGTGTTGTATTTTATCAAATGCTTTCTCTGCAGCATATTTTTATTGAGATAATCATATGGTTTAAGTTCAGGACCTGATGACTTTATAAGAGAATTTTACAAAACATTTAAAAAGGGACTAAATGCAATATTTTTCAAATTATTTCAAATTACCAAAAAGGGTGGAACTATGACAAAATCTTCTTATGATGCCAACATTACTCTGATAGCAAAACCAGACAATACCAAAATAAAATACAGACCAACATTCTCGATGAATATACATGCAAAATTTCTCATCAAAATATCAGCAAACCAAATCCAAGTCTACTCAAAAAGATCATACTTCAAGGCCAAGTGAGACTTTTCCCAAAGATGCCTGGGGATTCAACATTCATAAATCAATAAATGTCACCAATCACATCGACAGAATGAAAAATAAAAATCAATGATCATCTCAATAGAAACAGAGAAATCATTTGATAAGAGTTAATCTATATTTTTGACAAAAACCTCCAACAAATTAAGTATACAATGAACATACTACAAAATCATAAAGGCTACATATGACAGACTCACCACCAATATCACACTAAATGGGTAAAACTGAAAGCATTTCCCCTCAGATCTGGCCCAAGATGAGGATGCTAGAGTGGCCGGCACTGTGGCATAGTGGGTAAAGATGCCCCCTGCAGTGCTGGCATCCCCTAAGGGCGCCAATTCAAGTCTCAGCAGCTCCACTTCTGATCCAGGTCTCTGCTATGGCCTGAGAAAGCAGTAGAAGATGGCCCAAGTCCTTGGGCCCCTGCACACACACGTGGGAAGACCAGGAGGAAGCTCCTGGCTCCTGGCTTTGTTCACTCAGCTCCAAGTTTATTTAGATTTAAAATACACAAAAGAGTTCAGCATACGCAACAGCAGCACAGAGGCGTCATGTACAAAACTGCACAACCATCAGAAATGAAGCTGAAACTGTGCAGACGTCTCGTCTCCACGGACCATCAGCTCTGGATTCCTCTAAACTTTCACTCCTAATTGTCACCTTGTTGTCCTGAGTGAGTAGAACTCATCCCAGTTTGAAGAGGGCAGTTGCTGCTCAAAACCAGCAGTTAGTACTAAGTCTCAACAACGAGGCGTGCTGCTCGTTCCTGTATGTGCTGCTTGTTCCTGTTTGTACTCCTTGGCCAGATTCTCTTCTATACAAATCTGCCTGAAGTAGATTCCTGTTACTATTGCCAGTAACATTGAATATGGCTGACCTCCTCAGGTTCCACTGCCCAAAGAAACAACTGCTAACTAATTTTAAAAGTCTGGGCAGACATCACTCTGAAGTTAACAGGTATGTGGTAATATTATTTTTTTTTTATTTCTTATTTAAACTTTAACTTTTTTGTAATGTTCTACTGAGTTATAATTTATGTTCAGAGAAATAGAGCTATTTCCTAAAGAATAATTTTTATAACAAAATCAAAAATTTGCAAAATAGGGCAAATGAACACTTGGCACAGATGGCAAACATTTATTACACAGGCCCAAGTTCAAAGGACACAGAACTTCATTGGCATGTCATGATCTTTAAAAATTATATTCTAACTTTAGTAACCCTAATTTAAAAATACTTCAAAATCCCAAATAAAGTTTAAAAATAAGATAAAGAAATGAGCATATTTTCAATACATTTAACTTCCTCTTTCATTTTTGTCGTCAGTTGGTTTCTCCAGAAAGGAGACCCTGAGATCGTCATTAGCGTGCAGGCATCTTGGTGAGGAGCGCTGTTGGAGTTAATACACGTGGCAGCAAAAAGGAAAGCAGGACTGGGCAGAGGGAAGCTTCGGCTGACCCCAGCTCTGCAGAGATGATGGTTCGAGCTGTTCTGTTGTCCAGAGTAGCAATGAGGATAGAAGTGGAGAGGGCAGGAGAGTGAAAGGATACATGTTGGGAGGCTGTCACAGGCCCATGGTGATGAATGTGATCTTGGAAAGAAAGCATGGTGTTGATCAGTGGCCCTCTTCAGTTGAGGCAATGTCTGATAGAAGCTGAGAGTTTGAGGCCTGTCCTCCAGCAACCCTCCCAGCGGGTGGGTAATCTGTTATTCCTTCCTGAAAGGGCTTATAGACAGCACCACAATTTGAAAAAGAATTATGTATACCAAATTTCTTTTGTAATAGTCTGCATACCAGTTACCTAGCTGCCTGGTCAAGATTGAACTTCACCCTGAGGTATAATTTGTTTGAAACAATGATGTTCCCAGCCCACCCGAAGAAAAATGAATGTCTAAACCCATATAAGAATCCTATTCGATTTTCTTGAGTCTCTCTATCATTCCATCCTTTGGTAGTAGTCAGATGTGGTCATGTGGTTTGATTCTATATAAGATACAAAGAAATGTTAGCTACAGGGATTCTGCAAAATATTTTGCTTTTTTTATTAAAAGAAATGGATGTAACAGACATCCTCACCTCTCCCAATTCCCTCTCCTTTCATCAACACAGCTATGGTACTCGTAGCTGTGGCAGCCACTTTGCAACCAAGAGGGAAATGTCAAGAGAATTTCTGAATTTTTTGTTTGTTGCTTAGATACTGAATAAAGTCATAAACCAACCTCCAAGTCTCTAGCTTTTTAAGAAATATAATTCATAATGTTTAAGTAAATAAATTTGAATGTTCTGTTACTTACAGGAAAGCATAATTCAAACTAACCCTGTAGTTATAAAATGGAATAATAACTGTATTGAGGATTGTGTTAAAATATATAGATTGTATGTGCAATGTGCATATAATTACCAAGTTGTGATGCATTTTCAACAAGTTTAAAAATATCAAATACTAGTCCTTCCTCTAACGTTTCATATTGCTTGTTAGCATTAGTGGTTTTAATGATTACCACTAAGATGTTCTGCCATAAATAAACCTGCTTAGATAAAGTTGATGCATCGAAAACATGTTTTTAAAATATGCTTTACAAGAATGAATAACAAAGTTTCATCTAATAAGAAGTTGATAGGGAAACATTTAATGTGCATTCTAATCCAGAGGTCATTAACTTTTCCTTACTTCTGTGATTGCTTTCTGCAGCAGGGTCCCCACACAGTTTAAGCTGAATTAAGTAAAAAACAGTGCAATTGGTTACTTTTTTTTTCTATGCCTATGATGAAATTACTCAAGCAAGTAAACTAGCTCTGAAATATTGTCATGTTGAGCTCTGCTTTAGGATGTGGTCAAAGCCCAAGAGAGAAATATGTGCAGCAGCACATTTGCAGCATTGTTTGCTGGTCACAACTAACATCCTGTTTCTCTATACTAGCTATTTTTATCTACTTGCAATCAGTCTCCTTTCACTGCTACGCCAACTTGCTTTCTGACAGAGCAGACGCAGAGTCACAAGGTAGAGGTATGCAGCTTCCAAAGCTGAAGAAGTAGGTGTTATGTTTTGCCACTAACCGAAGTCCTGTGTAGCATTTGATTCGATAGCTTCTTAGCCTGGCATCTACATATTTCGTAATCTGCTGAGAGGAGCTTTGATATACTCCTTCCAAAGTGATTCTAGGTGAATGACTGGACACTAGCCTTGCTTCACTTTTTTGCCCATTTCTTTTAAAATAGCCCATTTTTACTTATAGTTTTTTAGACAGCTATTATTCTAAAACATGATACAGGATGGCTTATAGACATTTATATGTTTATACATATGATTTTACTTCTGACAGTCCAAAAAGATATAGAAATGACCACCAAATATATTTTAAGATACTCAATGCCACTATCAAGGAAATACAAACCAAAACCACAATGAGATATTGTCTCACCCCAGTTAGAATGGATATTATCAAAAAGACAAAAAGTAACACATGCTGGCAGCACTATTCACAATAGCCAAGATATAGAATCAACCAAGATGGCCATCAACAGATGAATGGATAAAGAAAATGTGGTATATAAATACAATGGAAATTATTCAGGCATGAAAACAATGAAATTTCATCATTTGCAGCAAAATGTATGGTAAGGAGAGAGAGAGACAGAGAAAGACAGAGAGAGACTCTTACCCATGGGTTCACTCCCCTCTTCAAAATCTCCACAAACGGCCAGGTCTGGGTCACGCCAACACTGGAAGCCAGAAAATCAATACAGTGCCCCTATGTGAGTCACAGGAACCCAACTAAATAAGCCATTAAGGCTGCCACCCAGGGTCTACATTATCAGAAAGCTGGGGTCAGGAGCCAGAGTTGGGTATCAAATACGAGTGCTCAGATATGGAATGTGTACATTTTAACCAGCATCTTAGTTGCTTGGTTAAATCTCTGTTCTCCCTTTGGTCATTATCTCCATAGGCTGTGTGCATGATACCCAATAACTGGGTTATGCTATCTTTTAATGTCATGGAGCTTTCATAACTACATTGGTTGTGTTATTGTTTTCAGACTTTTGTAAATTCTGCATATCAATCATCTCTCAGATACGTAGTTTGCAAATATTTTCCCACATTCTTGAACTTGTCTCTTCATTCTGTTGATTTGTTGTTGTTGTTGT